TTTTTTTCCTTCCACCTTCCATTACCCTCCCACTTCCCCTCATTCCCCTTCCCCAAGAGACAGTGGTTTCTTCATGCTATCTGGGTAAGAATTAAATATATTCCTGCCCCCTTCCTCCCACCCCTCTATACCTCCCCCCAAAAAAGGACAGAGTGTTTTCTTAGCATTAATCCTGAGCACACTCTCTTTTTGGGATCTTAATAGGGTTTAATTCCCCAAAATTTTAGAATGTTCCATTACTTGAGGTATTTCAACCTTCTTCAGAGGCAATGCCTTGTATCTTAGCTGGCTCGTTGGGCAGTGAAAGTAAGGGCTGGCTAATACCCGTTTCAATTCTGTATTCTAATGAAAAAGAAAAGCATTATTCCAGACTCCCCTGCCACACAGAAAATAATGCAACACCATTCACTTTTTAATCCATTCTCTGTTTGATACAGTACTAGCCAAAGGTAACAAAAACTAGATCCTTTAAAGAGATGTTTGGTAGTGCACTCTATCTTTTTTTTCTTTTTTTTTTTTTTTTTTTTTTTTAGCTTGTGTGTGTGTGTCTACATACACACTCTCACAAACATATTACATTTTTTATATATATATATAAAAGACATATATATATGCACACACATACACTTGTGTGTGTATATATATCTATATGTAACAATCAGGGAGAAAGGAGTTTTGTTCAAATTTAAGTGATACAGTACTTTTAAACCCCTTGACAATAAAAGGGGAGGGGGGGTCCACTCCTGTTCCCAAGCTGAACAAGGGGTTAAGTTTATATAGGTTTTTTAAAATGGGCATATTTTGTTTGCCCTGATGTCCAAGAAATACAATTCCAGTGTCAATGGGCATCTCATCAGAACTCATCAATTTTCTTCTGCAGATATTTTAACATTGAGTCCATCCCTTGTGCCGAGCCCCAGATTTTCTTCAAAACTTCACACTCCTTTTCATTTGCTTGTTCCAAGTCCACCTTCATGATATTACGTACTAAAGCTTTGGATTCTTCAAGTACCTAGGCCAAAAAAGAAAGGGAGTTGGCTTAGTATTACATGAGAATTGAGTGACATGTGCACTTACATGTTTATATGGATGAATCCTGAAGTTGATTACAAACTTAAGCTTATCAATTCATGGACATACTACGACCCTAAGAAACGTTTCTCATAGAGTTTTTCTCGTAGCGTCACATAGGATTTCCTTTACCCTATACCAGCACAATTTACAATTGCACAAAAATGTGGAAATAATGAAAATCATAAAATCATAACTATGAGGAAAAAAAAAATGGGTTTGTGCTGATAACTAGAGAAAACTCCAACTCCATTTTGGTGGAGGCTAATCATAACACTATTATCCAGAACTGCTCTAATAACCAGGCAGACCTTGAATCCCTTGAGCATTTAAAATAGACTGAAAAATCTCATTTGCTTTTCCATTTAGAAAGCTATTAATCTGTTTCAAATCCAAAATTCCTAATGCACAGAACAGTTAATTTGTACTGCATCTCTCCTCGTAAGAAAGCATCAAATATTGGTAGTTTTAGCTGTCTTGTGCAACTGCCAGTAGTGCACACAATGACAAATACACTTTTATGAGTAACACCTAGTGCAAGTTCAACATAATGACAAAGACTACACTTATTTCCTTGGTAATTTGAATTACAATTCAAGACATTAAATTACAGCTCAAGATAACTCAAGATTTCTGTGTTTCTGTGTGGTTCTTAGGGCAACTGTTTACATTGTTGATTAGAATAAGTTGGACTTACACAACTATGTTAAAACCAGAATATATTGTAAAGAGTCCAATGCTGTTTTAATGTTCTTAACTACAATGTACTATACCATATGCCAAAGAAGATTCAGATACAAACGTAAAAAAAAAAATCCTCAAAAACCCAGAAACAAAAAGATACACAAGAATGTGTTAAAAGACATTGCTATACTAAAATGCTGTCCTTGTTTCGTGAAAATGGTCTTTTTTCAGAAGGACGTAATGATGTAGTCTAATAATCTTAGATTAATTCTTATTAATCTAATCATAAAAATGTATGGTAAGAAAATAAAGGAAACTTACAACTGAATTACATGTGACAAGTTCCTTAATTCGAACCATTACTTCTTGTGTGAATGTTCCCGGCCAAAACACTTGAGAGACGAGTCCTTTGGCACAAGCTTCCTGCGCCGTCAACTTCCTTCCACTGAACAACATTTCATTGGCCTGAAGGGATAAAAAGTTACTTCTGGTATGAAATGTAATGAAACAGAACTCATTAAAGGAAAAATGTTCAAAATAAATAAGGAAAATGCCTGCACTATTTGAAATAGTTTTATTATAGCTCTTCCAACTTTTAATTAATAAAGAAAAAGACTTGCCTACAGATAGCTGGTCGGTGTTGTTGACTGTACTACATCAGTAGTTATAAAAATATGGAGGTCTGTGATTAAGGGTTAAACGTGAAAATGTCTTTTGTCATTTTCCATTCATGAATGTTCATTAGCTCTAGCTTTCTTGCAGTATTGCTGACTTGATTAACTGTATATGTGGTAATAGGTTATAGGGCCTAGCAGATCTGTAAAACAGCAATGAATACATCAGCTTGCCCTTTATAATAATGTTAGTTGCAGCAATGAAATCTTTTCTAAAAATCTACATCATCTGTAAATTATAAAAATAACCCAGTTTTGGTAGTGGAGCTGCCATTTGTGGTACAAAAGAACAGTTAAATACTTTACAACTAAAATGTTTTTAGTACTGAAAAATGTTTAAAACCTAGATATATGGTTTATTTTCAGCACTTCTCAAAAGTCTTCAGCAGTGTTTCATTTATGATGCAACATTTAAAATAGCTGGATCATCTTTGAATTTGACCTCCATAACCCACTGAAGTGAGCAGGATGTATTCCAATTTCTGATCAAATTCATAGAAAATAAACATTCACATTTTATTCAGGAGTTCAATATTGAATGATAAATCCTTTCAAAAGCTGATTTAGCAGTCTTATTAAAAAAACCCACTATTTAAGAGATCTTGTACATAGTTTAAAGGTACAGAACAGAGTACTATATATATTCTATACAATAAGGTGATCTCTAGTTCTGTAAATCTTTTTGAAATGGAATTGTCACATGCTTCACTATTCATCAGCTTCCCCATTAAAACTTCATCCTACAACCATTGATGCTTATGCTTTAATTCTACTTTTAGTGAGGTTTCTTATATAGTTAAACTTTTTGTTTGCAGTCATATCTGCACTGAAACAGCCAGTGAAGATTAAAAAGTCAGAGTAATTGCCAAAAAAAAAAAAAAAACCCAAAACCAAAAACCCAACCCAAACACCAGTTTTACTGTTTCTTAATGACTAATTTACATTGACAATATAACAAAGCCATCACTGGACTCTTTAAATATGGGAACTAAGGCTGTTATAAAAGACCCAAACCTGACAGGTGTAGCATTTCTGAGGATAAAATTCTGAGTTTTTAAAATATTTTCTAATACTGGAAATTTTTGTAATTATTACAGCAACTGCCAGTTAAGGATCTCAACTCATGTTAGCTAATTACTGTAGGTAATGTTCCTAGTATTGCCATTTTACATATGAAGGAATTTGAAAACTCAGAGGTCTATTACTTGTCCCTTTGTAATGAAATACAAATGGGTTCTACTGGCAGTTTGGTTGCTGACTCCCAGTCCATTAGGCATGTAAAAAAAAGATGCTTCCTAGGGCCTTTTACATAAAATTTATCATCAGCACATCTCTCATAAGTTAATATGGAAAGCTGTGATTCACATATATCAGTTTAAAAAAACCAAGCCTCCAACTAAAGGTACAAATTATATACCCCTATAGTTCTACCTTCTGTGAAAGCAAAACCAAATATACAAGGTTCATTAACTATCACAACTATACTTTCTAATTTTCCAGATTATATGTGAATAATACTAACCTGAAACACTGGCCAAAAAATCAGTGATATACACAAGTTTGTCTAAAAACAGGAATCATTTTCCTAAGGAGATATGGAAAAAAAAAAATTCTTCCAAAATAATTTTAAAAGATACTTAACATCTATATCAAAGATCAAAACATGAAGTCAATCTAACTGGGAGTCAGAAAAGTCAGAAATTTAAGTCAGCTGGTCAGGTCTACATATTCTTCACATGTATCTTTGGTAACAAGGGTAAAAATGAATGCTGGCAAAACTTAATAATTTTTTTCTAAAACTCAGTAGCAACTGCTGCGTTCTCCTGAACGTGCAAAACTACAAATGACAATGGTGCAGATATCTTATTCCTGCCAGCTGTAACACAGCATCAGCAGAAAAACCTCACATGAAACGAGCACTCCCATTAGTGTTCTCAGTTGACAGGTTTTGAAGGGAAATGTTTTGCTCTGGCATCTTCACTTTTGATCTATACGCAATGTATGCCGGAGACCCACTGCTAAACAAGTTTTAATTATACAATCATGCCTTGCATCTGCTGTGAAAATTAACACACTTGGTGGTTGTTTTCCAAGAAATATAATACAGCAATAGAAATGAAGATGATAAAAAAATGTCATTAATGTAAGATTCTCGTTAACAACCTTCATTTTCTACTCAGTCTGTCTTTCTCCTTCCACAGGGGAACTTCACTGGGACAGCCTCTGGTCTCTCTTTTACAGAGAGTGCTTTGAGGCTCATGGGGGACTTTTTGGGCAAACCCACAGGCACTAGCTGCCGTGCAGCATCTCAGCTCTCTTGCACTATGATCAGGAGGCAGCTGATCTCTGCAACGCCCGAGACCCTGGCTGTGATGTGGACTACAGGCACTATGGAAAGGTGTATCCCTCATGACTGACAGAAAAGCATAAGAAATAGTGCCACGCATGCTGGAGACCAACAGGGAAACACAGTATGTGAAGCTTGATCACGCAGCTCCTGTGCTTTATATCCAGGACCAGAAAACCAGACCAAGAACTCCACAGCAGACGCATGATAACGTATCTCCCCAAACAGACGTCACCTTAATCTCTATTACAGATTATTTTCAAAACTCAAAAGCTGAGTTTAAGGATCCTTCTAAAATTCTTGGTATTCCCAACACAGTATCAGTTTTGAATCCTAAGGTTTGGGCTTCAGATTTCCTGTAATAATGACTTCTGTTGAACATGTTCTGTGGAGAAAAAAAACCCTCCATGACAAACCTGCTCACCAGCCAAGACTGACCTGGTAGGGAAGATATGAAATATCTTGCAATTGAAGATTTTTACATAACTGCTGATGATAAAAAGAATTCACTGAATCTTACTTACAAGACTTAAGGGTGGGACTAATATTGCTGAATTAATACATCTATAGCAAATTTTATGATGCACACAGAGGCCTTAATTCTTTCTTTTGTATGACATTTTAATTTTTTTTTCCCCTGAATGTTTCTCATCTCACTCACACCATCTCTTCTTTCTGCTGACTTCTCTCTCCCTTTTATAGATAGAAAGCATGCTACTTTATCAAAATTTTCAGCGTGGATTCTGAATATATTTAATGAAATCTGCTGATTAAAGTCCAACTTTGTTCCATACAGCGTTGACATTGCTATACTGCAGAGTGTTGAGAATAGTATGAAAACAGTGGACCTTTTTCTCCCCCCGCTCTCCCCTTTTGCGCTGAATATTACGGAATTGTTATCACTGGAAGCTTTCAATTTAAATCTTTATATTTAAAAATGAGGGCATTCACAAACACACATGAAAGAGTATACTACGGAAGAGCTGCTTGTGTTTTGTGTACAACTTCTAAAGAAAATAAAAGTAACAACCACAAGTCTCTAAAGGACGGGGATGGATGGAATGGATGGATGAATGGATGGATGGATGGCCAAATAAACAGGGAAAGGAACAATCAGTAGTTTGAAATATGCTAAGATATTAAAGATACTCTTATAAGTGTTAATCTATTTCAGTTACCTTTTCTGTTCTCATCTAATAACTAAATCCAGACATCACACAATTAATCATCAGATATGTTCAAACTGATACTTTTAATATATTGAAATCTGTATTTTTAAAATCAATAAATACCTACAGGGAAAAGCTGGCTTTTACAATAAATAGCAATTTAGGAAAAACAGGTGCAGCTACAAGCACTTGTTTCATACTGTTACTGTTCAAATTGGAATGGGACATAGGTCTAACAGTTTTCAAAGAACACAGCATAATAAATAGTAAGCAACATGAAAATAAGGTAGGTAAGAGATTTGTAAACAGCTTTTTGTTACATTTGATTCTTTCATCTGATTAGAAAGCGAGAAAAGGGATACTAAGTAACATGTGGCTTATGTTTTCAGCAACAATGCAAAGCGTTACCATTTTTTTTTCCCAATCCAGCAATACTGTAAATCGACTGCAAGACTAGAAGAAAAAAAAATCCTTCACAAAGGAGATTGGACTGAGTATTTCTTACATAACACACTAGTGTTAAACATCAGCAGAGATCTACAAAGCGAGGAAGTTTGACACGACTTCTTGAGAACGAGTGCATGAAAGTTGAGTTACTTATTTTGCATACTAGCATGAGCCTGCTAATGGCTGGTGACACAGTGCTCTGCTCCGTAACCACACTGAGTGCAGACCAGCCCATTCTCTGCTACACTCTGATGTTGTGCTGAATGCAAGACACTGGTGGCTGGTCCTCACAAGGCATCAGCAGGGAAGGTGTGTCCTGGTATGCGGGACATAACCCTTCTGCCACTGTCAGGGTGAAAGATGCCCATGACGTGGGATTAGGGCCGGCGCCTGCTTTCTGTTCTGTGCATGCACGTGAAGACTAGGTTGTAACAGTATGGAGCAGAGAAGCTAAAAATAGTAGTTTCTCATGAAAGGTTTTCTTTATTTTTTATTTCTCTCATGAAAAGGCAACACAGCAAAGCTAAAAAGCCTTGAAATCACTCTGGATAAATTATCACAACTACATTGTGAAGCTGTCAGCCCCTACCCTGCAAGCTACTTACAGAAGCCAGGCCCATTATCCGAGGGAATGTAAGGGATGAACATCCATCTGGACTTTGTCCAAAAGTAGTGTATGGTGTCTGAAACCAAGCCTTCTCGTTAGCCCAAACCACGTCACACAGAGGCAATATAGATGCTCCAAGTCCAATGGCTGGGCCATTTACTGCTACAATGATAGGCTTCTTAAACTGAATAAAAGTATTCACAAAATTCCTGAAGAGAAACAGAAACATGCACTCACTACATATATAGAGTAAAATACACCAGCCCTTGAAAAAAAATCAGTAATAATTCATCTCCACAGTAACACCAATTTCAAAACCAACCTGACAGCCTTCCACGATGAGGTGGTTAGCTTGGTGGATGAGGGGAGAGCAGTGGATACTGTCTACCTAGACTTCAGACTGAGGCATTCAGCACTGTCTCCCATAAGACTCTCATAGTCAAGCTGTTGATGTATGAGCAGACAGTGAGGTGGACTGAAAAAATGTCTCATGGCTGGCCCAGAGGGTGGTGATCAGTGGCACAGTGTCTAGTTGGAGGCCAGTAATTAGCGTTGCACCGCAGGGGATCAGTGCTGGGTCCAGTACTGTTCAACAGCTTCATTCATGATCTGCATGATGGGGCAGAGTATACCCTCAGCAAGTTTGCTTATGATACAAGACTGGGCTGATACCCTAGAGGGCCATGCTGCCATCCAGAGGGACTTTGACAGGCTGGAGAAATGGGCTGACAGGAACCTCACGAAGTTCAACAAGGGGAAGTGCAAAGTCCTGTGCCTGGGGAAGAACAACCCCAGGCACCAATATATGGCGAAAGCCAACAGCTGGGAAGCAGCTTGGCAGAAAAGGACCTAGAGGGGTCCTGGTGGACACCAAGCTGAACTTGAGCCAGCAATGTGCCCTTGTGGCAAAGAAGGCTAATGGTATCCTGGCCTGCACTAGGAGGAGTGTTGCCAGCAGGTTGTGGGAAGTGATCCTTCCCCTCTGCTTAGCACTGGTGTCCAGTTATGGGCTCCCCAGTGAAAGAGAGATGTGGAGCTACTGAAGATGGTCTAGCAAAGGGCCACCAAGATGACCAAGGACTGGAGCATCTCTCATGTGAGGAAAGGCTGGGAGAACTAGGACTGTTCAGCCTGGAAAAGAGAAGGCTCAGGGAGGGTCTCGTCAACGTGTATGAACACCTGAAGGGAGGATGCAAAGAGGATGGAGCCAGGCTCTTTTCAGTGGTGCCCAGTGACAGGACCAGAGGCAGTGGGCACAAACAGAAACACAGGAGGTTCCCTCTGATCATCAGGAAACACTTTCTGACTGTCAGGGTGACTGAACAGGTGGCCAGCAAGACTGTGGACTCTCCATCCTTGGACATATTAAAAAACCCTGCCTGGACATGGTCCCAGGCAACCTGCTCTAGGTGACCCTGCTTGAGCAGGGGCAGGTTGAAAAAGATTACCTCCGAAAGTCCCTTCCAACCTCAACCATTCTCTGATCCCCTGAAAGCCTAGCATTTCTCCCAGCCCAACAAAGCACAGTAATTGGGCAGGTCCAGATTTAATGCCCTTCCTACAAGCACCAGCTGATATGGCACTTGCAGGATACTCACATGCCTCACAGCCCTCTCAGATGAGCCTGTAGTTATACCTCACCTCTGGGCACCAAAGCCATGGTTACAGCCCTGCTTGGTCTTCACTGTGCTTATGTGTGACATTGGTATAAGGTATCTATCTATCTTTTTAAGTGAAGGTGTAAATTATATAGGTGTAAGTGAAGATGGGCAAAGCATAAATGAGTTTCCTTAAGGAGTATTTCTGGACTTTGGGGAGACAGCTTTTCTTAATAAATAAATAAATCTGCCTTCTAAAATTATGAACAAGCCATAAATAGTAGAGCTCCATCCTCACATATCACACACCTGTAAACTTCCCCTCCTCATCTCCCTCTCTCAGTTGGTCATAATGCTATAGGTGTTATGCTATTAAGTTACAAATGCATATTCTCATCCTCATTATCAATACAAGATGACAATTTGTTCCAGTACCCACAAAGCATGGGTGCTTACATGCTTCTCTTTCTCAAACAGTAAATGCCTTCAAGAGCTTCTTAGGAAAAAAAGTAAGCATGTATGTACCTACATGTGTGTACACGTGCATTAGACCAAGTAGAGACTTCTAAAACCTCGAAGCTGAGGAGCAGACATTTCTCAGATAATACCTATCACATATAATGAAGAACTTGTCCATATCTATTTCAAGTACATGACAAATTCCGATTAGAATACAATGTACAACATACAGTTGTCAGCACCTGTAAAGCACTCCTTTGCTCTGAATGACAGATGATTTTCGATTTCAGTATTAGATGCTGAAATACAGGATTTTAATAAAAATTTTTTAAAAGGGGGATTTAGTGGTAATCTTAAAGTTTGTTCTTTATCTGTTACATGTTCTTGTATTTCTGCGAAACAGAACATTTCTACTATATTGCATCCATTGCTAAAGGTTATCATGCTGCTTCTTAACTCATTCTAGTGAACTGAAATAGATGAATGCAAAAAAATTTCTACTGGAACGATCTTATGCAAGCTGTCATAGAAACATCCTATCCAGAGACTTAAGATAATTTTAATCATGTCTGAATATTCCAGAGAGGACCATCGCTAGCATATATATGAAAAATACCATTACTATATTTGAAGGGGGAGTTCATAGGTGGTTTAAGTTACCTTTATCCATTTTATTAACAACGAATAATAGGTGACAAATCAGGCTTCTGGAAGGGCCTGAATTAAACTAGTGACAGAAGCTCATTGTTAAGAGCTTCTGTCCCCTGGCCACATCTGAAGTCACTGCATGAGCAACTTTTACAGGGAATGATTAAAAATTTTTCTTTGAAAAAACTATCTATTATCATCTCTAGGAGTCAACTGTGCCTCCAGTGAAACAGGCTTTACATGTTACAAGGCCTTTTTTAGGGACATGAATATTGATAACAACAACGGAACATAGGTCTCTGAAGGAATATAGATACTCTGGAAGCATACAAGAACTAATCCAAGAGCCTAGGCCCTCAAAACCAGTGTTCAAATGATAACCTACTTGTTTGTACTGTTAAAACATGTCCCTCTAAGTTGCATACTTTTTTCCATATATATTCTTCTAGTTGTAGTAGTTCAGATCATTTTGTTTAAACATTAGGTTTGGTACCTAACGCTGGGATGATGTTCACTAGTATTAACCTACTTCTCTAAAATTTCCATCATTCCACTGCTCTGAATGTACTATATTAAGTTACTCATTCAATGCACATATTGTATTTGTGTATGTTAAATTTGTTTTCCTGAAACCCTATGGCTGTTTAAGTCTTTAAAATTGCTTTCAAGTGGAGGAGTATTACCATACTACCAGTTTTAATAGTTAAATTTTAGTAGTAAAAATAGTGATGCATGAAATGACAACCTAAATAGAAAGGGACAGGGAGTATAAAGAAGTGCTGCACACAGTAACACATAACAGGTGAACATCTGAGATCTTGTTGAATTAGAGGCTTTTCAAATAAAAAAAGATAAAACAAGCCAGACTACATGATGAAGAATACCCACTCAGATGAAGATAATCTTACATACCTAATAGCTTCTGCCATCTTAGTGCTTTCCTTTTTTCTATCATCTGTTAAACGTCGTATAAAATAAATAAAATCAAGACCACAGCAGAAAATGCTACCAACTGCACTGAACAGCACAAGTTTACTGTCATCTGCAGCTGCTGTGTTCAGTGCACTTTGGACTTCCTTCATTACCTGAAAAATCAAAAATTCTAATGAATCTTCTTATTACATCATTAAGAAGTAGCATACTATTCTCTTCCCCTCCTCCCCCCATGAGATCGTCAACGTCTTTAATTTTTCCTCAGGATCCACTCAGCCATCATATTAGAAAAGTTAACTTTTTTCATTATCCCAAAATAAGAAAGTTAAAAAAAGTATTAGAAGCTTTGCATTTCAAAAATGTAATTAGACTAAGATAATGAAATCATTAAGAAAAGATCTATTAGATGTTATCTGTAACTAAAGCACTCATTCAGCATTTCTGTAATTTGGACAGCAGATGGCACATGCAACCAGTTCAGAAAAAAAACCCCTTAATTCAGGATAAAGCTTGTTTCAAGTTGCACTTCATAAATTGCCACATGTCTTACAAGAGTCAGTACATCTACATGTTCAGATAATGTAGTTAAAACTCAACTGAATTACAGTTAAAGTCAGTTGTACGTGTAACATCTTGCAAGCAACAACCTGAGTCTTGTTTCGTGTATGTTTGTGCCTGAATAACAGGCGTAAATGAGACAGAGACTTAGAATTCCCTCAGCACCCTTCCCCTACAAAATGAGAATTGTTCTGACCTCTGGATTTAGTGAATTATTTTCAGATGATTTTGTTGATAGCAAAATGTGTGTGAATCCATCTTGTTTCCTGACAACAATGTCTCTGTACCGGTACGCACTCTCGGTTTGTCTCACGCTGAAACGTAGCCTTTTATCAAAAGGTTGATCTCTCCTGTCATCAATAAACCTCCGTTTGCTGGCTGTCACTCCTGTTACAGATGTCTGTATGTTGGTTGTACCATTGGCTGCTAATGCTTCCATAAAGGTGGATGTACCTGGAAATAGTTTAAACAATAACATTCTATTAATTGCATTTTATTAGCTCAGCAGTTTCAAAATCCCTATTAGCATGAAAACACACTGGTCATATTAAGAACACATAGTAAATATGAAACTCAGCCCCCTGGAAGTTACTGAAATGTTACAGAAATAGACACTGTGCACAGAGCAAAATTAAAGTGACAAAGAGATCCAACAAATTCATTTTACAGTTGTGAGAAAATACATTTCAAACAAGCCAAACAGACCAATCATAATCTACTTATTTTTAGAAGGAAGGGAAAGGTTTATATAACGTCCCTAATACCAATGCA